AATTTCTTCCAAGGCTTAACTCATTAAAAGATTTCATTTCCTTGAGCCCCAAAAAAGGTTGTTGAAAGTTCCACGTATAAATATCGGCAAGGAACCTTTATTTTTGGCTCATTCATTATAAAACCACCTATCTACACAGTGGAATCTGTAAAGCATGTTTCTAAAATGAGCCATAGTATCAGTGAGTCTTGATTGCAAAATTTGACCTAGTTAAACCTGAGTGTGATGTAGAAGCACTGGGGATACGGAAAGGCGCGGGAAACTTAAGTTTTGCGTAAGCAAGCGACATGAACGCATCTGAAAAACTTGTGGTGATAATTTCGTTGAAAATTCTCATGAAAAGGAAACAAAGCAGAGCTGGAGTCACTGCTGCAGCACAAGGCGTATCGCAAATAACATGTAGACCTCAATGACCGATGCAGTAGCGAAACGTTCATGATCGATTATCGATATTTCTTCATTTGAGGCCATGGTAAAGAATCGACTATTAAGGTATTTGTTGCAAACATGCTGTTCATCGATGCTTTTTCATGGATATAAATGGCAGATAAATCGATACATTCCAAAGCACGCCACGCCGCTAAATAGAACGCTGAACGTCCGAGAATAGGAAGAGGAAACTAAGTTACATTAATGGTTTATGTGAGGGCGTGTGGCTGCAATAACGCAACACTGACCGTGAGGTTCGAACTCACGACCTCAAGATCCAGCGTCGCGTTGAACTGCGAGGAGTGCGAGCGTTGACATGGGTGAACCGTGAGTGGGGGACTTGGTGAAAGCTAAGAATGAATGAGCTGGTGATGAATGGGAGGAAGGACTTCCTTACGCTACGATTGCATCACTCCGTACGTTAATACTACCAAGTTGTCGGGCCGGGATTCGAGTCGGAGACCTCTGGTCTCGTGCTCCGATCAGTAAACTCGGAGCCGCGAACCGGTGCGAGCGGTAGCGGACCAAGGTCTTCGCCGTCAAGTTAGTGAAGAGGTAGTGAGTCGCGACTCACAGTTGCGATTATCAGTCGGAAAGTGCCAGTGCCTGAGATATTCCAACATTTTTTATTTTTTTTGGATTTCTGTTTCGTGATTAAAATAAATTGTATTAAAAACTTACACTTTACAAAAGTAGAGATAAGCAGCAGCGCTTCCACTCGAGGGTGAAGAAGCATGCAACTCAAATACAATGGAGATGTTGCATGTGTGAGGGATTTGCGATTTCACCATTGATTCTTATGTAAAAGTTCGCGAGAAACACGATGGTGCCACTGGTTTTCTCTGAAATCATCTCCCAAGCTCAAAAAAGGCTATCAAAGTGAGGCCAAACTGGAGGGGATATCCCACCCTACCCTGAGATTCCACCTCTCCATCAAAACAAACTCTCCCTGCAAAGATAGGGAGCAAATATATTAGCAGGGTTGCCATGTTTTCAGTTTTGGAGTCCCCAAATAAAGTGGCAACCCTGCTAAGGTATTTGCTCCCTATCTTTGCATGGAGAGTTTGTCTTGGTGTAGAGGTGGACTCTCAGAGTAGGGTGGGATATCCCCTCCATTTTGGCCTCAACTTGAGAGCTTTTTTTGAGCTTAGGAGTTGATTTCAGAGAAAACCAGCGGCACCATCGTGTTTCTCGCGAACTTTTACATAAGAATCAATGGTCAAATCGCAAATCCCTCACACATGCAATATCTCCATTAAACCACATTATAAAAGAAAGTACTCACGAGCATTCTGGCCTTTGTTTCCCAATTTATCGCAGACGCTTTTCGCCTCCCCCCTCCCCCCATACGGGGCTTCTTCGGTGCTGACACAGTATACTAACACTAAAACTAAGACACTGAAAGATCTAACGATTGTCTTCGCGAAATTAGACGCAGTATGGCCGTTAACAAGTTTAATACAACACATAAGTTAATCCAGTAGACACATCAGTACGCACAAACAAACTTATTAACCGCGTCCAATTTCGCGAAAACTATTGTTAGATCTTTTAGTGTCATAGTTTTAGTGTTAGTATATGTCAGTACTGAAGAAGCTCCGAATGGGGNGGGGGGGAGGGAGGGGGAGTTTGCGATAAATTGGGAAACAAAGGCAAGAATGCTCGTGAGTAAGTTTTTTGTACATATTCTACTGGCGCCTTTGACGTTAACAGATATATTACCTCAAATCATCTTACATGATTACAATCATCATCAATCATATGTATATGGTTTTCATTAGAATTTAAATGTCATTATGCACCCTGACAACAGCGTGAGGTGAACCGAAGAGGAAGGAAGTAACCGACAATTTGTGTTAGTATGGGAACGCAAAGTAACCTAAACGTACCATATTCAGCTGCCAAAGTCAGCGTGTGATCTCGGCTTATATTTCAATTCTATCCTTCTTAAAAACGAATGTAATTTTCAAAGGTCTTATTCGACCTCCATAATCATTTATGGATTTTTTCTCAAGGTGATTCGACGATCGCCATAGTTTGTGTCGGAGTGACGTGCAATACATCGCATCGATTCGTTCCATAATTTCGGCTACTTGTCATCTTTTCCGATTTTTGAGATCGCACTGCTGTCGTTATGAAACCATAGAATTCATGTACCAAATTTGACAAAAAAATTCAACGTAATAAAGGCAGGGTTTTTTTAGAAGAAAAATATCGCATTCGAGTGCAGTTTCGATATCAGTATCAAATGCAATATTTTTCCTCTAAAAAAACCTCTGACTTTATTACGTAGAATTTCTTTGTCAAATTTAGTACATGAATTCTTTAGTCTCATGGCAACAGAGGTGCGATCTCAAAATTCGAAAAAAATGACAAGTGGCTGAAATTATGAGAGGAATCTATGCGATATATCGCACATCATTCAGACACAAAAAATGGCGTCCGTCGAATCACCTCACGGAGAGGGCTCAAGAGAATTTCTGTGGAATTAAGAAAAATTATTAAAATAGGGAGAGAATCTTGAGCCAGTGAGGTAGAATCTGTACCTTATTTAGTTCATTGTTTCCGTGTTACTTTTTAACAGTCATGCGGCACTTGAACGGCTTCCGCATCGTGAGTTGAATCGAATTCAGCATGCCAGATTGCAGCTCGCCTGTGTCTAACTGAATTAGGCGACTCGCGACTCCTTTCCCACCAAAGTCCGCTTTTGCAAGAGTTATGAAACTATGAAACTCGACGCCCTCAGCATGACGATACTAGTGAGATTTGTTATTTGGAACTTCGCATCAGTATTTCAGCACTAATTTAAAATATCGGCCTCATAAAGTTGAAGTTTTTTGAAACTTCGACTTGCCATTTACGCCAAAGATAGGGGGTGGAAGTCGCTGTCGATATGAGAAAGTTGCAGTTCTGGCGCAAATTCTGAATTCACCCCCCCCCCCTCACATTTTGAATGATATAAAAAATTATCTTTGTGATACGTGTAAAACTGTTTTTTTTTTATCAGATAAAAACTTCATAATCAAGATCGAGTGATCAAGTGGACGTATTTCTGCCAAACGGAACTATGTGCATTACGACGTGAGCCCTGTTATGCATATATTCTCGTGGATCTCAGGGCTCATGCCTTAATACATAAAGTTTCATTTGGCAGTAATACATCCAATTGTGAATTTACTCGGATGCGGTAATGACAACTGACAGTGAGTAAGAACGTGTGTGGATAAGAAAGGATGATTAGTGCTTACTTACCTGATGAAATTTTCAATCCGTACGAAATGTAATAACTAGTAGATTCAATCGATTTTCAGTCTCAAATAGGAGACAGTTGTTTTTAAAGATATCTTTTACCCCAAGGGGCAAATAAAAGTGGAATTGATAAGGGAATTTTTTCTCAATATGGTTTTCCATATTGGTTTTCTAACCTGATGTTTTAATCCAAGGTAGAACTGAAAACACTATGGATGTCAAGTAGTCAGTTAGTTATTTATTTTCTTCTCTCTTCGATAAAGTTGTATGTATCAATCTTGCTTTGTTTTTAATAAGACAGCATTGTAGTTACACAGTGGTATAGCCACAGATTACCGGCCGATGATACACATGCTTGCATGACTTCCGGCATGTCTTATTCGTGAATATTGTGTAAATGTCAATTAATATATTATGGATACTATTGTATTTGAACCAGAAATTTTATGAATAAAGACGAATTCAAAAAAAAAAAAAAGATTAATCGATTTATCGCAAAGTTTGCCACGCCACTGGTGCTCTCGGTAAGAGAGTTTTTCTTACAATTCATAAAACATTTGTCTACGGCGAGGTATGAGGATTACCAATTGTATTGGTTTAAGAGTTGATCGAGACAAGAATTCATCATTTTATTTCATGTTGTCGGAGGTCCTCTCATTGGTTTCTGCAATCGGATCGAGGATTTAAATGTGGAACATGGATAATCCCCCAGTCTACTTGACGATTCATGTCCCTCAATCCGGACTATCTGATCCTTCAAAATAACTATGCCTTGCTAAGGAAAAACGCCGTACGAACTTTCAAGCGTTGCCAAATTTCCTTGGATAAAACACGAATTTTCTGGTAAACTTCTAAATATTTCCCTTCAAACTTTTTAGATAATTTTGTTCGGAGCTTAATCCGAAATATCTGAAAATTTCAAAGAAAAATGAGCATGAATGTGATAAAAATTCGGTATTAATTTTAGGAAATTTGGCAACTCTCGAATGTTCATACGGCGTTTTTCCTAAGCACGGCAGAACTCCGGTTAGAGTAGTATGGCTTTCGTAAGTTGAAAGGGCAAGATTCATTTGGGTATCAAGTTTTTAAGTTGTCTAAAACGTATAGATGGGCTTAACTCTCTTTCAGTTATGGTTCATAGGAGAAACTGAAAATTATTATTATTTTTTTTTCCGCTTCTTACAGGAGCTCAATTAGAAAACCTCCAAACGATGAACAAAAAGAAAGCGCACGTCAAACACCAAAATTGCCGAGGAATGTATTTAGGAACTAATCTAAATGGTGTAAACAGGATGAGAAAAAAAAAACAAAAAACCAAAGCATCAAGGCGAGTTTAAGATTTTATTAAGAAGTATTGTTTTTCAAATTGAAAAGCTGGATTGAATTCCATGGCACATGAATTATTGATATTAGATTTCTCAAATCGTCCATCAATTAGAACTAATTCAAAACATCGATACAGACGTTTTTTTCGTCTTTTTTTTTCTCAAAGCGAGAGTGGTGACTCGAGAACATATAATGTCATTACAGAATTCATGATATGACTAATTTCGATGAATGGACAAAAATATCCTTTTTCCTCTATTGAATTTTGATTTTCAATTCTAGTTCTAATCAAATATGGAGTTTGAAAGAAAATTATAAGTTAATTCATTCAAAAAGTAGTCACCTGAAGTTACAAATAAGTTGAACTCGATAAATTAAATATTAAAAATACATATAACAATAATAAAAAATCTTAATTACGAGGGCAATATTATGAAAATGATGATTAATAACTTAAAAAGAATGTCGAAGGCGATGATTTGATGTTAGTTATTTCTCAGGAGATGGCACATGTGTTAATTATTTTAGATCTACGCATCTTCCAACTTGGATGCCGCAACAAACCATTTCAGCAGCATGTGAAAAAAAATCCTACCTCAGAGTCTCAGTATTCAGTGGCTGTGAGTACGTAGCATGTGAAAAATGATATTTATGCGTTGTTGAAAACTGCTTATTCGCTTATCTTAAGCCAGTGGAATGGAAGTAAGTATGGAATAAATAGCAGAACAGATGAAAAGGGAAAAAAGGAAGAATGAACAATGGAATGAACGGAGTTAGCACTTTCTGATGTGTCTCAAGTTATTTGTAGACGTAGCTTTCAGAGCCGCCCCTTCCAAAACCTGGGAACAAATAGCAGACACATTATTTTAACACCGGAAATTTTGTGTGAAGCCGGATGAAATTCAAAAATTGATGTTTCGTTTCGACGAATAAAACAGAAGTCCCATAATTAATAAACAACAGGTGCACTGTCTTAGACTAGAGTTTCCACTTTATCCTATATTCAAGGACTAGTATCTGGTAGTAATACACGTTATTGAATAATCTCGTATTCACAAAATCATTTCGCCTTCATTGTATCGTGCAGGCAGAAACATGTCTGCAGAGGTTGAATAGTTGCATGCTCGCGCCTTGTTTAAATGACTGTGTTTCGCCTCAGCACACGCCATCGGATAATCTCATAGCAACACGAGCATTTCGCCTTCATTGTGTCGCGTAGGCAGAAACATGTCTGCAGAGGTTGAATAGTTGTATGCTCACGCCTTGTTTAAATGATCAGTGTTCAGCAATAGCAATAGCATACTCTATTGGGCAATCTCCCTATAAGCATTGCGCCTTCATTGTGTGATGTAGGCGGTATTTTGCGTAATGAATGGACAAGTCTACTGAAATTCTTCCAAACTAGGAGCTATGTCCAACCTTCCGAAGCGCTTCACACCTTAGACGTAATGCGTTACGCGTTAATCTAATGATTTTATACCATGAAGTAAGATTATTTGAAGTCTTTCTCTACTACGTCAGGGTTTCAAAATTTCATGAAAAATAAAATCCTGAAATTCACGAGGAATATTTCATGAAATTTCAGAAATTTATGAATGATATTGAATAACGCCGGTTCCTTTTCATGTTTTGCAAAATGTAAAAATTGTGACATTCTTTTCTTATTGTGTGTTTGAGTGCGGGTTGCAAACTCTAGCCCAAAAAAATTTGAAATATTGCACAGCCTCGTCAAATTTCATGATAGATTTCACTGAAATTTCCTATCGCTCATTTCTTTCTTACGTAATGTGCCACCTCGTACTAGCACACAAGGAAGGTTTCGTTGTTGATCGGTAAGCAGGATTCAGAGCTTTAGATTATTCCGTAGTAAAACTGATTATCAACACATTGTCAACACTAAAAAAATGTCACCTCCGATATTTTGGATTGTGCGGTACTTTTAGATATAATGTGACGTCATAATTTTAAAAACTCTCCCCATTTACTTACGTGCTTGTTCTCAAAATCAACTAAAGTCACATTAATGTCGTTGCTTCTCGCGTAAATGAAGAGGAACATACAACATATAGCTAGGAAAGGGTGCGCCTCCTGAGACTTACCACCAGGTCCGAATAAGGCGGAGTAGCATGGGTTGTGACAGTACGGTTTGCTGTCGTGTTCAGCATGTCCTCCTGGAGTCAAAGTTCTGTTGCATTTTTCACACCGCAAACAAGCTCCATGCCAGTCTCTGCCTAAGGATGTTTTCCTTTCGGCTGAAATGAAAAAAATGCACTGATTTAAAAAAAAGGCCCATCCTCTCTCTAGACATTTATTTACTTATTTATTATTTTTTTCCGAGGGAGAGGGAGAGAGTTCAGAACCCTTTGGCTCGGAATCTTTCTTGATTACGCCTCAGTTCAACACGATGACATAAATAAGATGTTTAGTTTTTGAGCGAGCAGAGCATCTCATGAGACCTTAAATGAAGTTCCGATTTGCGGCGACATGAACGCATTAAAGCTACTTAACATTTGTGACAAGAAAGGAATGACTCTGTCATGAGAGGCTACTGCTACTACTTCGGCATGAATATGAATACATGCACATGAGCATCTCTCAGAGCACACATGAAGAAGTACCTCTTTCCATTTTATGGGACCAGCACCACGGTCTGCCAGATTTTTCCCTTTTTGGCGAGAAAATCATGCATGCTTCATTAGAGCCGAAGAAAATTGAATTAAATGGAAGCAATTAATTACGCATAAGGGCACGCGGCTCATTAAATAAAAATGGCGCGGGAGTATTGAGGCGTAAGGGAGGAAGTGAAAAACTTGGCATTGGGGAGCTCTTTCGAAAAGGGATGAAAAAATGGATAGTAAGGCAGAGTAGGCGTGCAGAGGAGTGCTGGGAACAAAAGCCGAACGTTCGAAGCGCCTCAAGTGGCAGCCGCCCTAATTACGCGTCTCCTAATTACCTAATGACAAATGCCGGCGCAATGTGCCATGTGAGAGAGTGACGCCTACTCGCCTACTCTTATCCCCCGCTATTATTTTCACACGTATCTCTCTTCGTATCGAAGATGTGTATTGTTCCTTCCCGGCTAAATATGGACGGAGGAGCTGTAAGTGCAGAGAGAGTCTTGCCAGCCTATACCAGCCTATATGAGCGAAGCTTGAAGATTGGGATAGGATCCCTTTTCAATATTTACGCTTGTATTTCTCCTCCTATGCTGTCGTGCTTAGGAGGAACGCCGTATGAACATTCGAGAGTTCCCAAGTTTCCTTCGATAAAATGTTTATTTTTGCGGAAGGTTATGAATATTTTTCCTTGAAATTTTCAGGAACTTCAGGTAAAATTGCGAACAAAATTATCTGAAAATTTTGAAGGACAATACTCAGAAGTTAACCAGGAAATTCGTGTTTTATCAATGGAAATTTGGCAACGCCTGAAGGTTCATACGACGTTTCTCCTTAGCACGGCAGTATGCTTGCTTCTACTCTCGTGCTTTCCTCTGAAATCTCTGTCTTAACATTTACTTTTTTGATCGGAGGGGGAGAAATCCCGAAAATTATCGTTGAGAAGCAATCATGATTTTTGCCGATTTTTAGGGAAAGAGGTGAACGAAGTTTCAGTTTTTATCGTTAGACCTGAAATTTTTCTCAGTAGCAAATTTTCAGAGCTTAATCGTGGAGTGTAGATTTGTTGTTCTCGAGAGGCCTTGGCGGTGAACAAGAAATTAATTAAATGAAACCCTCTGTTGTCAATGAATGGATGGTATTCATTGTTTTTGCAATCCAATTGAAGTTTGCCGAGCGCTGCTTCACTGGCGTCAAGTTGACTGTCCGACCTTATTTTCAGGAAATCAAGCACACAAAACATTTGTCTGTATACTTCTTATCCAATGCCTCAAAGTACGGATAGCAGAGTATGTGGCCTTTTCTCGTCATTAAGTAAAGCAATAGCTGTCACACGTGCCTAGAGAATGAACTCAAGGCACATGCAGATTGAGGGCTGAGTAGATTCCGAAGCTTCAAAAGGGCTGTAAAAGACAGACTTTTCTCCTAAAACTTTGCAGCTCAAACGATACTTTTTTTGAGACAGTTATTGAGACAGAGTATTAGGGCGAGGCCTTAATTGTTTTGTTAAAGTTCAATATTTATTTCTGACTTCATTTGTTTACATCAAATGTTGTCAAGGGATGGATATTGATGGTTAAAGTGCTAAAGCTCGTATCTCCGTTTGCGACATTGCAGACTTCCTGTTGGACTATTTTTTCAATTGAAAACTTGTCAACGTAATGAGAACGGCTGAACTTAGACAAGTATGCCTTGCTTTTTCTCCTCGATTCGCAAAATTTTCTGTGTGAATTCCGAGCTATAAAGTTAACTTCTTGCTCATCGAAAAAATAAAATAGGAGCGGAAATTTTGAAACACCGCAACAGAGATACTTGGTTTTGCACTTCGGTCATCACTATTGAACTATAAAATTATTCCCACAGCTAATTAGATTATTTCCCATTGATTAAAGTAACTAATAAATCGAAATGTAATTTTTTGCGTGGGTGTATCATGCGTTTTCTCGGTGGTATTTAAGAGCATCCCCAAATCTTTAAAACAGCGTGTGAGGTTAAACCTCAGCGGTAATTTATTTTTTTTAATTTATTAGTACCACCGTGACCGGACTACAACAACCATAAATCGGCAAAAGTATGGCAGTTGATGAATAATGTGCACCACTGCACGTTTGCACTGATAGCAGTGCATGAAAAAGTATGACAGGGTCGTAAAGCAATGAACGCGAGGTGAGCGATGGAACGAGAAAGATCGAACAGAGATGACTTAAGTCCTATTGATCTGGTGGTGCCACTTGTGGCAGTTTTTACTCGATTTTGCTCTCACCAGAGCACCAGGTTACGGTCAAGCCTTAACGCTCTTAATGTTCTCGGAAATCAATTTCGGAGCTTATTCTATTGGTCGGAAGAGAACGCGATCTTCTCTGGAGAAGAAGAAAGTTTGCTTCGGCAACACAAGCCGGAGGTTTTTTTGTTTGGAGTTTCCGTCAAAAAAGTGGCGAATTTCCGCGGAGATGTGACAGTTTAACCCTAAAATAGCTCCCACCCGTTTCGCGCTATACCTTGGAAAAAATGTCTGTTGGACGCATGCGACGCACTCCGCAAAAAGAGTAGATGCCGCTCCAAAAAAGTGTACATCACTTTAAGAGAATTCCTATCCGCCTTCATATGACTCGGGGTTTTGGACCTTATGTATACTCCGAAATAGAATTTCACTCCCAAACTTTTAACAGTGTATATGCTCCACGAAGATTGACCTCTTGTGCGTTTATGCCTCCAAATGTAACCCCTGGCGTAGCTTAATTTTTTTACTTTTTTCTTATCCTTAAAGAATTATTCCTCCACCATTGATAGATACCTCACATTTTTTGTGGGATCAACGCCACCTCCCTACTTCACTGACTGCGGGTTGATGAACGCGATAGAATTTCTGTCTCGTCGTCCATCTCTCTGCCGAAGAGAAGCATGATTAACTTGGAGTAAATCACCATTGAAACGTTTCTTTCGCCGTACGACTATCACTCGTTGACGTGGCAACGTGGAGGGTATAACGTCATGGCGCTCAGCTGGACGCTATCTTATTAGCACCTGACCGTGCGCGGAGCGGCGCGCGGCGTCGAACTGCGTTCAACGCGGTTCGAGTGCCTACTCTTGCGATTAATCGAAAGTGTCGTAAGTAAGCCTCAACTCAAGATGTCAAATAAGCGCGGACGAGGAAGGCCCCTGGCCTGGCCCCCGTCCCATCGTCCCTGTCTCTGTCCGGCGAGATCTTATGGATTGGCGTCGTTGCCAAGCCGTTTCCAGAAGTGGACACACGATCGAGAAGGAAGAGGAAAGAGAGGAAGACACGAACGGAAAGAGGATTATGATCTAAAGCAACGATGATTTTGGTAGAATTGGCTAGTGCGATCAAAAAGAGCAGAATAATCCGTACTGAAAAAAAAAAGTTCGGTAAATCCGAACTAGTCAGGATCATATGGAACCAGGTTCTGCTCGGTACACACAACCGAATTATTCGGTCTGTTCAGCCGAATTGTTCGGTTTGTGCGACCGAACCATAATAAATCCTTACAGTTCGGTTTAGTGGACCGAACAGTTCGGCTGAGCAGACCGAATAATTCGGTCGTGTGTACCGAACAAAATCGTGCTTCCATATGATCCTAACTAGTTCGGATTTACCGAACTTTTTTTTTCAGTGCGGAAAGCAGTTGGCAAGGAAAAGGAGGGGGGAGGGCTCATATTAAAAACGTGAAAACTACCCCTACAAAATAAGCGAGAGTGCGAACGAATTGAATTGGACTGATTCTAAGCGCTGATTTATTCATACAATCTGACCGCCTTGATTTGAAACATCTGTATGACAAGCAGCAGTTTTTTTTTTGGGGAGGGGGATGGATTCCTCATCTTCAATGGCAATACCGGGATCAAATGCGATATGTTCCCTTTTAAATTTATATTTTTTGATTTTTTGATTTTATATCATTATTCGATTTGGTTTGGTTTAATTTAGGCCCCGAAGCCTCATGATGACGAAAATGCAAGCTCAACATTCGGCGGAATATACATAGAACTGAAAACTTGCGTGATATTCAATTCTTATCGAGTTCTAATTTCACTTTTAGTCCCCAATAATGTAATTTTTGGGGGGCCATTTATATTTTCTAAGCCTCGCAAGAGATCCAAAATCCGTAATACTATTTTGGTTTGATTTTTTTTCTTTTAAATATGTTTTGAGCCGGAATGTCAAAATCAAAAATTGCAAAATTTCAGCCCAGAACAAAACGAACCATTCTATCAGCATTACCAGCATAAAGTTCAGTATTCAAGGGAATTCGGCCAAATTTGGAGACTCGGTAGGTTGAAGACACCCGGCAGCAAGCGGTCGTCGTCGGTCGAAGCCGCGGTCGCGGGCCGCCATCTGTGAAATAAATTCTGCCGCACTAAGTGAAAAAAACGCCGTATAAACATTCAAAAGTTGCCAGATTTCTGCCTGCACAATATTTGAGTATAAGAAAAATCATGATCACTTCTCCGTAGGATTTTCTGAGATTTTACTTAAAATCGCGAAAAAAAATCTCTGAAAAATCGGAAGGGAAATATTCTCACGTCCCCTCGAAAATTCATATTTTATCAAACTCAATTTAGCAACGTCTGAGGGTTCATACGGCGTTCTTCCTTACGACGGTAGTAATAAGGAGTGG